CCGCGAGCGCGTCCTTGCACCGTGTCGGCCGCCGCGCCGTTTACACGGGGCGCCGGGTTGCACCTAACCTCTCATGAGTATAGCACGCGCGCGCGCACGCTCACCCCTCCGCCTGCCGTCGCCGGCTCGCTGAAGCAACGTACACAGAAAACCGCGTGGTCGTGCGGCGCGCACCGCGCAAGCCAAGACAACGAGGCAACGCCGCGTGGCCGACCAGCTGATCGGTCGGCGACGTGCAGCCGCCGCGGTTACGGCGAGAGAGAGAGAGGGTGAGCGGGCGCGCGCGGAGGGGGAGAGAGAGTCGCGCGCGACTGGGCTAATGAGTGTGCGACCTATTGGGGATTCGGTGGTGGGGGCGCGGCGGGCGGGGAGGGGACCCGCGCGAGATAGCAGAGCGCGCGGAGTGGGAGGAGGCGCTGTGTTGCCGTCACGTCAGACAGCCGTGCCTCTTGTCGCTGCCACCGCCACACCGACGGTGTTTTCTACGATCGAGTGACGGCGGCGGCATTGCAAGGTCTAGGAGGCCGCGCTCTCGAGACTCTGCGGCCGTTTCTTGCCGCGTTTCAATGATTCTACGCTATTCTACGCGATGTATCTTTGCGTCATATAATTTCCGTATGTTGTCGGAAGTTTCTCAGAATTTCGCACCGAGATTTTTGCAGCGATACTAGTCTAGCTCGATGGAGCATGCTGCGCGATACGGTTGGCTAGACAGACCGTGCTTTGACATGACCAAGTGGAAGATAGGAAGAGAGAGATAAAGTGGCTTTAGTCGATCAACGATACGTCACGCCGAGTAATTTGTGCCGGCTCGACTGCCTTGAATGTTTCATTTTGTAATGATGAGTCGCCCCATCGTTATGATAATTCATTCCTACACGAGTGTCGTTCGGGTGATTCACGTCATCATCTATTCGTTCAGCTTCCCGTGCGACGACTCGTTCGGCGGGCTTTCGTAAACATCGTTTTAATGAATCAACGCGACGACGTGAACGCCGAAACGTCATTTAAATGAACGACACACGACCGACGTGAACGCCATCGCACGGAAACGATCGCGCTTATTTTCCATGGAACTCACTCGACAGGGATTCCCTCCTTCCCCGCCCCTGGCGTGGAGGCGCGAGAGCAAGGCAGACTTCCGAAAAGGAAGAGAGGAACGCGCTGCTGCGACGTTGTCGCGGCTTCCGAAACGCCGCGACGTTGCCCTTCGGCTCCATCTCGTATCGATAATGATGAAAACGGTGCGCGGACGAGGAACCGGTGGGAGTCACTGTGCCACTCGGTGGGTTCTCGCAATCGTGTCGTTGAAAACCAACCAACCTACCGGCCGATATGTGTGCAATGGCGACTTGTATCGCCGCGAATTTCACACAGACGATCGCTCGCGCGACTGCCACCCTTGTATCGATTCTCTCTCTCTCTCTTCCCCACCCTTTTTCTCTCACATCTTGCTTCTGTCAATTCACACGTCACTATCCGTGGGTTTTTTCAGTCGATATATCTCGCTCGTGCGATTCAGACGAACCGAAACGTCAATGAATGCATATTAATCGCGTCCCACACAATATCGCAAACGCGTCACGATTTAAGGTTTACCAGAGTTGTACAGAGTTGGGTGTCGTCACGGCGCAACATTATAAACGACGTTCAGAGTGCGTCGGGTTGGAAATTGATCGATCTACGCAACATCGATTTTTGCGATATTGCGTGACGTAAAACGGCATTGTCATTGGCTACATCTAACGTGAATGGCGCCGTTTCCTAAGTGTCACGGAGGGATCGCGTCACTGATCGCGGAGCCACGATATAGAATAGGGACATTGTTTGCACTAGTGGTGTCATACTGTCACGCGCATTCCCGGGAGACCGGTCAGCGAAACGACTACATGACACTCGGCGGTCGCGAGTGCTACGCTCTATCGTCGGTTACGAATAATAATCATTGCAAAAACCAACGTCACTGCAAACCGCGATCCATTATCCGCCAATCCGCGCGCAATCTTCACGAGAGAGAAGTCCGTGTTCCAAATTCGATTCGATTACGATTCAATTTGCCACTCGAATCGTATGGTCCTATGTGGCTCGTGGCACAGAGAGAGGGGTTTTTCTCTCACAACGAATTCCGCAACGCATCCATATCCGCAACAGGAGAGAATTTGTTCTCTTAATAACACCCAGAAGATAAATTTTCCTACATCGGACACCGGGCGGACACACGCTCCAGAGTTCATCGAGATAAAAGTGTTGCGACGTTTTTTCCCATCGACTGTACCGATATATCCCGACGGAAACTCAGCTCACCGTTCTCTCTTTTTTTCTCTCTTCGATTTGGCATTTATCCCGACATTGCATCCGCGATTCCGCGAAACGTAGTCCTCGAGCACAAGTTGATTCACTGTTTCCTGAGATGATTATCATCATACCATCGTCGCTCTCCCGACGAGATCTCGCGTAACGTTTAATCGCGCACCATCACCGTCTCCACTTACTACCAAGTGTGATATTCGCTCGCTTCGGATATTATCGCGCAACTTGGCCGCGAGCGGAGCGCGAATCGAGCGCACAGCTCAGGCTCGCTCGGTCGCCCGACCTGTTATGCTCGTCGTCCGTTCCGCCGCGTTCCATGCTCTCATACCGCTCCCCTCCTTTCCGTCTTCCCCTACCTCCGCCGCCCCACCATTACGCCGCGTCTCTCTTGCTAATACGCCCTCGCACAGGCCAAAGCACGCGTCGGCACCGCGTATCTCGCGCAGGGACGTAACGAGCGGAACCACCGTGAGGGGACGCGTTTTTCGTCGCCGCGCCGGCGGCGGCAGGTGCATTGCCGCGGGGGAGTGAGTGAGTGAGTGAGTGTCTGCGCGGTGTGTTCACGTGGGAGTAAGTAATTTCGTCGCACGACGTTCCCGCGAATCGGACGGGCGGCGAGCCGCGGGTACGTAGGTCCCCCGTCGCGAATACGGCGTGATTCTAGTTAAATGTAACCTTTGCGCGACTAGGGTGGGTTGTGGCGTAGGTTGGGTAGGGTTAGGGCATAGGGTATAGTTGCAGCTACATAGAGGGCCCAACTTTCAACGTCAACGATACACGTCTCTCAGTAACTTCGTACTTGACACTTGCTATCGCGTTTCGGACCGATTGTACAGAACGCCGTTGATTCTGTGTTTGTGAGTGTTGTTAGTCGTCGGTTTTACGCGAGACTTTTATGAATCGCGCCGATAAGAGGACAGAGCCGCGTGTCGCTTGGGAGCGACTCGCGTCCCTTTAAATCCGCGTACTGCTCGGTGCGTTCGCTCCGCGAATCACGTCGAAGGAGAAACATGAACATCGACCGTATATTATCGGATACTACTACGGCCAAGTCAAGTTCTATACCGGCTCGCTCGTACGACCCGGTTTATCGCGAGATGCTATTTACACCCTGGCAGATAAAAAGAGGCTCTTTTCTAAGGATAGATTAGCGCGGTAGTAAAAAGACACTTGCTAACCCAACCGATTATTTTTCTCTCTCTTTCTCTCTCTATACTCTCTTGGCCCGGGATACAAAACCGGGGCGCAAAGTAACGCCGCAAGGCGGAACCACGGATCACACATGGGAAACGTATCGGGTGAGAGAAGGAACGGAGGGGAGGGGGAGAGGTACAACAGAGCGGAGCACCCTTCGCACGCTGTAGCGGCACAACCACACTTCGCCACATCGATTTTACCGGCTCGCTTGCACTCACACTCGGTCGACCCGTTCACTGAAGGAATGTCTCATATGCCTCCCTCTGCCTCCTCTCCCACCCCCCTTTGCCCGTCGTATTCCCTCCTCCTTCAAAGCCCCGCACCCCCTGCTCTGCCGCCTCGCGCACCCCCCGCGGACTCTATCTCCGTCACTCACTCACGCCGGTTCTCTTTCTATCTTATCCCGTCGCCATCCCTCTCCACCCAAGCTCGCCAACGTCTGCCCCCCTTCTCCACCCCTCTTTCTCTCGCCACTATCTCTTTCCGGCTATGTCCGTCTGTCTTTCTCTCTCGTTCTGTTGCTCGTTCGCTCACTCGCTCGCTCGCTCGCTCGTTCGTTCGTTCGTTCGTTCGTTCGTTCGTGCACTCAACTAAAGGTCTCTCTTTCTCTCTCTTTCTCTCCGTCTCTGTTGTGTGATCGCAGGGCGGTAGCAGCAGCGCGCGGGGAAGTGGAGAGGGAGGTTGCACCTTTTGCCGCATCTCGGAATCTCGCGCGTTGCTCATTTGCCGTACATAGAGAAGTGCGAGGAAGACAGACAGAGCAACGAAGAGAAGGAGGGACGGGGGAAGGGAGAGAGAGAAAGAGAGACCTCCGGGCTAGGTAGTAGTAGTAATAGTAGGTAGTAGTATGCGAGAGCAGCGGCACGGTGGTCGGACAGTTCTAGTTCCGTTTCGATTAGGTGAGTCCACACGCGCCGGGTTTTTGGCTCGCCCTCTCGTACGCAACATAATCTCGCGGCAGAGCGTGTGTTACGCGTGATGCCGTTTGCTGTGTTCATTGACGGCACTCGACGCCGTCGTTGCCGTCGCTGTTGTCGTTACCGTTGCCGTCGTCGCCGTTGGTTTTGCTGCTGCCGTCGCTGCTGTTTACCCGGCGCGTCAGCCGCACGCCACATTCGCGAGCGCGTCCAGGAGGAAACGAAGTGAACGGACACCTCGTGCGGCGGTACGCGCGCTTGAGAGAGACAAAGAGAGAGAAAGAAAAACAGAGAAGGACAAACAGTGTGCGCCTCTCGCAGGACATACACTATGCGCGCCGTACAAGCGCGACTCGGCCTACGTACTTGGACGATTCGTTCGTGAACAGACTGACCTCGCGGTTATGGCCACGCCAGGGGCAGGTCGCCAGGGTTACAGAAGTGCACAGTAAAGTCTGCTTGTTCCGATTTGCCGGGTTCGTATATATACGTACGTATACGCCTGCCGCCGCCGTCACCTCCGCCTCTTGTGTGCGAATCGTTCTCTATGTGTATGTTTATGTAAATGTGTGATACGCATATAGTATGAATCGCGCGCACACACACACACACCACACGTGCGCGCGCGCGCATTTCTCCCGCTATACGCGTGCATATACACAATGCCATCTCGATAGCGTAGAGAGACGAGATCCTTCGTCCGTTTCTCTCTCTCCTTGTCTCTCTCCACCGGCCCTCTAGCCCAGTTCCGGGCACGGCCACTGATCCATCGATAAGGAAGTTTGCTGTCCTCTCTCGCGGCAGGTTCGTTCGTGCCGGTCGTGCACGATGTGCGAATCCACGGGATCGAGCATCTCGTTGTCGCATAGTCGGGGTCGAAGCGCGCTGTGTACTTTTGTAGTACTACTACCACACTATTACTACTACTACCGGTCACGTGACTCAGACTATCCGCGGGGCAGGACGAATTACGGGTTGCGGAATACAATGAATTACATACAAATTAATCGCTAGTGGTAATTACTCCTATTTACATCGACCTACGCGACTTGGGAGAGTAAAGCGTTTCATTTCTTTCACTTTTCTTTCACGTTCCGTGACGAACGTCAGGTGTTTCGATTGTCAGGCTGACATGGTCTCGACGAAGATAGAATTAATCCCCCGTAGACTAGTGTGAGTTCGAGACTGTCGCTATCGCAAACGTATCTGTTCGTTAATGTCGCCGAAAAAAGATCTCTCGTCACGACTCGCTTGTAAAATTGCGAAAGTAGGAAAAATGAGATAAGTATCAGTTATCGTTACTAACCTAGTTTTCCTTTCAAATCGAAATAACGTGAGAAAATTACTTTTATCCATGAAGGAGTTCGAGCAAGGCAACTGTCTTGCGGTATTCGTTCGTTTTCCCTTGCGCGAGAGAGCTCGATTCTTCGTGGATCTCACGCGCGGGCACGCACTATCTTCCCTCTTCGGATTCGCTCTCTTTCCCTGTGTACAATCAAGATATAAATAAAATAAAACAGTGTCGGAGGAGTGCCGCGGCCGAAAATAAATGCGCCGTCAATACAAGTAGAATCGCGAAGTGGAGTTGCCAGCGAAGAAGTGATAAGAAAACACGCGTGACCGAATTAATTGAATTGAGCGGGATTTTTCAGCAAATCGCCGGAAAATGGGCTGTGCTCGCGACTGTGTATCTCTTGCGTGATTTCAAGACATAAACCAATCGATTGCGCGCGCGCGCGATATTCAAAACAAACCGGGGTCTTTCCGGAGCGCTCCAAGTGTCGTTCGTTGGTTGCAGGCTGTTACACAGTTTTCCTGGATCACATACTACTGAATTAGATTTTCTCACGATAGCTAACGCATGTAGCGTTAAAAAATCCGTAGAACTGTACGTGCATGCGTATATGCTGCACTCGGCAGAGAGTTTAATCCGAGACACGAACGTAGTCGCGACGCGTCGCGTTGTTGTAACAACGGACGCGAGTGAGAGACGCGCGCGTAGGTGCGTAATTTATCGCTACGCGGGACGCTCGACGACGACGACGTCACACACGCGCTTGTCGCGGCCGGCCGGAATGACGTAGCGTGTCGTCGCTCTCTTCTCCGGCTTATCGGTGCTGTTAATCGAAGGCGCAGCGCGCGCGCGCCCCCGCCGGTGTTCTCCTCTCTCTTTCTCTCTCTCTCCCTCCGCGTCGCCGGTCGCCGCGGCCGCGGACGCCGCGTACGAAAATATGCGTGACACGAGAGCCAGTTAACCGAGGCCGAGCCGCAGAGAGTTCAGAAGCGCAACGTAGTGAGTAAAACTGCCCCCTCGCGGTGTGCGTCTGTGCCTCCCGATCCCCCGTGCACTTCTCCGACCGACCGCCGTGCGCCATCGAGTTCTTACCTCCTGCCCCGCTACTCTGCCGCCACCTAACCTTCCACCACCCCTCCCCCTGCCGTGCCGTTGGCTCGTTCGTTCCACCCCTCTTGCCCCTCAGCATTGCCCCTTGGAACCCCCCCGTCGCCCTACCGTTCCCTTCCCCTCTCTCTCTCTCTCTACCTACCTACCTCCCGCCCTCCCTCCCGCCGCTCTAAGGTCCTCCATTTTGTCGTGATTCCTCTAGCTCTAAACATATATCGGACATTTCCCTTGCATGCCGTCGCCGCCACTTGCGGAAGGACTGTGCGCGAAATTCCGCCAGCGGTTGACACACCGCCGATCGGCCCCGAACGGCGACTACTATGGGCCTCCTCCACCATAGGTCGTCCTGGAAGGTGTCAATCTTTCTCCGTCGTTCTCCTCATCGCTCACTCGTTCTCTCTCCGTCTCTCTTTATCTCCACGCGTGGCTGTAGTCACTCCGTCCTCCTCTCGCTCTGGCACCGTGCGCATCCTTCTCCCTCGCACTTTGCCGTTTCTCCTTCCTCGTCCCCTTCCTCCTATCTACCCGCCTCCCCTCCCTGCCCTCCCTCCTCTCCTCGGTCCCTCTTTTCTCCGCTCCATAAGTCTTTCTCTATCCTTCCAGGTTTGTTCCCCCCGGGAGTGCAAATCGTGTGTTTTAACAACATATCTCGATTCTCCGTGCCGTGTCTCGTAGCGTCGGAGTGTTTCGCCGGTTTCGCCGTTTGCGTAGCGTAACCTCTCTCGTTACCGCCGAGCGAGACATCGGCTCGGTCGGTTTCTCGCGCCTTCGCATTCGTCGTCGCTCTTCATACGTTCTTCGTGCCGTCCGTCGTGTCTTCACCAGCCATCGTTCGTGATCGCGCTCGCCGCCTGCCTTCTGCCGTGCACGGCTGCCTCGTCGTCGCATCGTCGTGCGACTCTGCTTTACTATGTGGCGGCGAGCTTTACCCTCGATAACGGTTGAATCGTACAGGCGCTTCTCGTGACTGTAGTCTGTCACCATGTCTCCTTCCGTCACCATTTGGTTCGTTGCATTGTTTTCCCCCGTTTCTACGCTTGTTTTTCTCGCCGAGACGTCACGGCTCATACGTCGGTGTACTTAACGTGCTCTCGTCCTCTGCTTTTCAGATGTCTGCTGGGTCACAAATTCAGATGGCACCCCAATCAACTGTAAACTCTGGTCAGTCGGTTCATAGTCAAGATTCGAACATGAGCACTGGTAAGTGAAAAACGTATTGTGCTTGGAAAACGCGACGAATGATGCACAGATTCTTGCCAGTGGTGTCTTTGAGTTCCCTATGTGTCCTAGTCCTTGAGACAACTTGCTCGCCTCGAGGATAGTGTCATATGTGTCTGAATAATTGCTTGCATGCTGTTAATTGATGTTCCTCAATGAACAACCTGTTGTCCACAATGAAATTGAAGCTTGACAGTGTCCTTGGTGTTGTGCGACACTTCTGATGGGACTTGTAACTTGACAGGCTCATCGCACAGTGATAAGGAGGTGGATGCAAACACTCCAGAAAAAGTACCACGGACTGCTACTGAGAGGAAGAGAAAACGCAAGGCAGACGACGGAGGTGGGGGTATTTCAGGAGGTCCTGTAGGGAGTAAAGGCGCTAGATCAGTCGCTGCCCTTGATAATAAGAAAATTAACGAGTATTTCCCAAAGCATCATCTGGGTAATAGTCCTATACGGCACGGTGGAGCCAAGAGCCCTTCTCCTCAACAGGGTTATTCTATGGTAAGCTTTGGAGCAAGTATCACGTGTAAAGTATTTGACAATATCAACTCTCTATATTTCTGTATTTAATTGTACGTCTCTTCTTACCAACAGTATCCACCATCGCCTCAACAGTTACTTTCACCCCAAGTAACTACACCGAATTCTTCAGTGGCGGAATTCTCTGCTTCACTGATGCAGCCGCCAAGACCTCATCCACAACCTCCACCTCCTCCTCCAACAGCTTCGACACAACCTGCAGGCTCCATGGTCAGCAAGCAGGTGCAGGTAAGGCCTACCAACCTCAATAGGACAAGCCAGGTCAGACAAGCGAAGACTAACACCCCAAATGTAAGCAAAATTCGGTAATGTCTGCAAGCATTTTATAAGAAACGACCCACAGGGCAGTTTGTAGTGGAAATACATAAGATATATTTTCAAAAGCTCCTCTTGTTAGTTTCTGACAAATCTTCTTACCATCTATCATGTAGTAAGTAGGCAATAAAACTGTCATAGTTGTATTTTTTTAAACTATTAAAGTGATAAAAATGATGAGGATAGAATAGTTGCCCAATTAAAGATTTTTATTCTGATCGTTCTTTCACAAACTGACTTTGTCAGTTGTTTGCATAGAATAATGATGAAAGAGTATCATAACGACGGGATCAATAGAGGGATCATCATCGCGAAGATCGGTTACTCTCTTTTTTTTAGGTTCTGTCCGAATACTCGTATAAATTCTCACTAGTAATCTATGAAATACAACAAATAGATTTAGACTCCTTCGTACGCTTGCACTTATGATCTTGTGATGGGCATTTCTTGTCAAATGTTTGCAGTTAAATCGGCTAATTTTTGGCCAGAATGTAGCACTGTATACATTTGTTATTGTACAAATGCAGGCTACCTTGTAATGCCATTCTCTGCTGCGAGGCTACTTGTTACCGATCTGACAAAGTACCTCCTAGTGTTCTGAGACTTGATTGCTCTAGCCATGAAGCGAGTATCAAAAGGCATATTTTATTACTTTTGGCATACGCACGTTGATCTTCAGGATTCATTGAACGTTGTATTTGAGTTCCAATGAGTCCAGTATCGTTTGACTATACCACTAAGAACTTTTTTTAGGATTTCCATTGGCGTTTACACGAACAACTTTTATATATGCATACATTTTTGGTGTTTTCCTTGCTGCCTGTGTGATCTTTCAGTTCTGTCGGCGTTTGTTCACGCTTAAGTTCCGCTCTCTTTCTCTCTCTCTCTCTCTCTCTGTCTCTCTTTCTCTCTCCATGTTTATTTAAAATAATGAAAGACAAAACGTACGTCGTAGTGGGATAGTTAAAAAGCTCAATGAATAATCTCGTTACGTAATCGAGCGTAATAGATCATTGACAACTTGTTAAATCGATTCGTGTGTATCACGCTCTTTCTGGGTGCGGCAAGGTATCCGGTGTTTATGAGCGATGATGACAAATGTATCAGATGTTACGGTAACGTACTCGCTTCATCGTAAATTATACAAATTGCATTCCAGACAGAACTTACTTGCCAGAGGATACAGGAATTTGAAACTCAAGCTTCTTCGGACTTAGAACTACGTAACAGCAGAATTGAAGAATTAAGTAGGGTAAGTGTGTTTGTGTTGCGGTTGTCATAATCTCAGTCTGTGTAAATTCTCCCGATTTTGCGCGCTTTATTTATTTCATCGAATTTACATAAAATATGTAACTAGAAAGCCTATTGTATGCACAAACATAAGCGAAAGAGTTATTATGTGTATTGTGATGACATGATTACAATCTGAATTACAGACTAAAAACGGATTGGTATTTTTGTTGCAGACAACGGACGAACTTAAGCTTCAAGTGTCTAATCAAGCGAAAATGATTGAGCAGCACAAATCACATATAAATAAGTGTATAGACGTTGTAAAGAAGTTATTAAAAGAAAAATCAAACATAGAAAAAAAGGAGGCTAGGCAGAAGTGTATGCAAAATAGACTGAGGCTGGGCCAGTTCGTTACGCAGAGGGTGGGCGCCACCTTTCAGGAGAACTGGACCGACGGCTACGCGTTTCAGGAGCTCGCGCGACGACAGGAAGAGATAGCGACTGAACGGGAAGAGATCGATAAGCAAAAGAAGTTGCTGCTCAAGAAGAGGCCGTCGAATAGCGAGACTGGCAGAAAACGTAGCCAACCGCAATCCTCCCTGCATAATGGTACCGAGGCGACGTTCTTGAAGCCAGATGCAGTACCTGGGTATACATGGCAGGAGTATTATGAAGCTGATGAAATACTCAAGGTACCGTTTTGCGACCGTTTTCTCCTGAAAGCATCCAAATTTCTGCATTCTTAAACGTTGCGACAATGTCTTTTCAGTTAAGGCAAAGCGCGTTGAAGAAAGAAGACGCGGATCTGCAATTAGAAATGGAGAAACTCGAGAGGGAGCGGAACCTACACATCAGGGAGCTGAAGCGTATTCACAACGAGGACCAATCGAGATTCAACTCCCATCCTGTTTTGAACGATCGTTACCTTCTACTAATGTTGTTAGGAAAGGGTGGTTTCAGCGAAGTGCACAAGGTAACGAGGAATTTCCACTATGTTATCTCCGCATTAATTATATATGAAGATAAAGATTTAATTGTGTCGTATATATCTTTAAGTTAATTGTATTTTATTTTCTCACATACAGGCATTTGACTTAAAAGAGCAACGGTATGTGGCTTGCAAAGTGCATCAATTAAATAAAGACTGGAAAGAAGATAAAAAGGCTAATTATATAAAGTAAGTCTCGATCCTAATCGCAATAGCTAGCTAATGCAAAGATGCGATTAATAGCACACTTGTATTCTCGCGAAGTGGAGTGTCGCTATTTATTATTCTTTTCTTTTACGACAGGCATGCGTTGCGAGAATATAATATACACAAAGCGCTGGATCATCCACGAGTCGTAAAATTGTATGATGTATTTGAAATTGATGCCAATTCCTTTTGTACCGTTCTGGAGTATTGTGATGGCCATGATTTAGATTTTTACCTCAAACAAGTACGTCCAATCATCATTACATCCAAACTATCCGTTCGTCATATCTCTTTTTTTTCTTTTTATTAATTTCACATGTGTCTTGAATTTTTCAGCATAAGACTATACCCGAGAGAGAAGCGAGATCTATTGTTATGCAAGTCGTATCGGCATTAAAATACCTCAATGAAATAAAACCCCCAGTCATACATTACGATCTAAAACCAGGTAAGCCTTTCGTATCGGTGAAACCGTCCACCGTTGGTTTTCTCCGAAAAGAGATTCTATGAAAAATGTCTTTGAATCAATAAGAGAGTAAAGTTAATTCACTCAGTATCTGTTCACGCAGGTAATATCCTGTTAACCGAAGGCAACGTGTGCGGCGAAATAAAAATCACGGACTTCGGTTTAAGTAAAGTCATGGACGAGGAGAATTACAATCCGGATCACGGGATGGACCTAACGTCCCAAGGAGCGGGTACTTATTGGTATGTATTTTCGTCGTTTCCTATTATCGTTGCATTGTTTGATTTTCATTAGAATCGTTAAGATGATTGTCAAAGCAAGTTCTGTTAAGAATTCAAATATATGTGATTTACAACATTAAACAGGTATCTGCCTCCTGAGTGTTTCGTCATCGGTAAAAATCCTCCCAAAATATCGTCTAAAGTCGACGTTTGGAGCGTAGGAGTTATATTTTATCAATGCCTATACGGTAAAAAGGTATTTGTCGCAATTATTCGTATTGTCGTATTATTGCTCACAAACTTTCATCTAATGTATCATATTCGCGGATCTTGTGCAAACGAATGGTATTGCTTTTGCAGCCTTTTGGTCACAACCAGTCGCAGGCTACCATTTTAGAGGAAAACACGATACTAAAGGCCACGGAGGTCCAGTTCGCAAATAAACCAACCGTCAGCAACGAAGCAAAGGTAGTGTGCTGGTGCAGACTTTCATTTTATTTTATTCAAAGATAGGGACGCACATAGAGAAAATTATCTTACAACGTCACGGTATGATTTATTGCAGAGTTTCATAAGAAGTTGCCTAGCATATAGAAAGGAGGAGCGCATAGACGTACTGACATTAGCTAGACACGAATACCTGCAACCCCCAGTGCCAAAACATGGCCGCCAAGCGAACAGTCAACAGCAGCAGCAACAGCAGCAAATACAGCAGCAGCAGCAACAGAGCTCGTTCACTATTGGCATGTTTAGCGGTATGAACGCGTCGAGCAGTTCGTAGTGGAGAGGAAGGACTAAGGACGAGATCCTCGATATACCAATACATGCCAAATCTTGAACGCTCGGACTGCACACCATTTCATCTTTAGGGAAATAACGATTGCTATAACCAATTGTAAATATTAAACCGGATACTATCACCGTCACCACCCACCACCACCACCACCACCACCACCACCACCACCATCACCACTATCAC